ATTGAGGGAATTTTAAGATGATAAAAGCATGAAAACACTCAATGACTGAGCTTTAAAAAACATTAATTTTATTTTTTCCGATTCAGTTCTTTCTTTCTTAAAAAAAAAATAAAAATTACTGACAATTACAATGAATTTTCAGATGATAAAGCTCTTTTTTCCAAATGTTTTATTATTATTATTACTACTACTCCTACTACAGAAAAGTTTGGTTTTCTTTTTTCTTTATTTATTTAAGTTTCTTATGTAGATTAATTTCACACACACACACACACACACACACACACACACACGCTTCAAGAATATACAGAGTCTTAGAAGAAAAAATCCACAGTTGAGTGAGAATATTTGATAAGCATGTGATATAAATGTCGCACTACTGTATTTCTCAGGTATGGATGGTGATTTCTTCTCTTTTTATACTTAATTAAAATAAATATTTATCATGGTTGAGTCACTGAGTGATTTATTAGTTCAAAATACTCTTTAATTTAATTCTATAATTTTCAAAATAGAGGTCCACTGGGGTAATTCTCCGAATCGTCCACATGGTGGCAATCTTTCATCTCCGTAGCCTTGAGGCTCAGTCTTCCAGTCCCTATTTAACCTCAAAGATATTCCAGACATCTACTTTAGTTATGGGACTGCAGTCATCATAAAAACAGAGTAAAAAGAGTGTAAAGAAAAATCATATCGCCGTCATTTCCACGTCAATAATCCTAGTGCTTCTTGTCTCCTCCTGCTGAAAAGCAGCCAGAGAGTCACATGGCCTTTTGTACGCGTTTCATTGGCTGATTTGCTTAAAAAAAAGCATCCGTCGTCAAGACAACCAAGAGCCGCAGTCCCACTTCACTTGTCTGGCGAGGCCTTGACAAAGTCACACAGATCCTTTTTTTACCTTCTGCTTATTGTTTCACTCTCTCCTCTCCTGTGCATCTCAAGAGTCTATAAGAGGTAAGTCAATAGAAGAGATAGTGTGCTGTTTAAACATAGATGTATATTTGCTTGAAATGAAAGCTTCTTGTAGTAAAAGCTGCAGACAGGATCACACATGATGAGGGGGTCCTGAAAGAAAATGCATGACATTTTATACTTATTTTACATGTTGCACCAGGTAAGTTACTTTTTTTTTTCTTTGCTTGTGGTTGATAAGCTAAACAAAGTATGCCATCAAAGAATATAAATGGAAGAGTTTACCTGAATAACCGTGGAGTTGCCAGTTCTTTATCTCTTGAGAGCTTTGGTTTGTTAAAAGCATTGTGCTTTGAGCTATTCGTCTGCTCATTTGTTTCATCCCGGCGTTCATCACTTTCAGACTTTATCCGTGCCATGTCTAACAAGTGCAAGATGTTCCATTGTAGATAACGGTGGCTGTAGCCTCAGGAGGGATGTGAGCCTGTTCCCCTCTCTGTCATGTAAATTAAGAGCAAACATGGAGTCATCAAGGTGGCCATGTTGATAGTGAAAGGCAAATGTATCTCTGCGGGCCTTCTCTATCGCCTGTGCAACAAGTTGGTATAATATCTTTAAATTATGAAAAGCAGAGAGTTTGCTTGTGTAGCATATGAAGAAAAAGACTTTGTATGTAAATGATTTCTGTAAGATATGTTGAGTTATATGTACAAATATGTCCCAAGAGCCCATGCAGGTCTGGAATATAATTGGTCGAAGCTTAAGTGAGTAACTACGTAAATGCTATTCAGTTATTCAGTGCTTTTGCCTGCTTTGTTTAGGGAGTTTCGGTTTACATTGAGGGTAGCTGGCCTTTCATGTGAATTGTAGTATTTTTATGGGTCATGTAGCACAACAAGTGTTTGAAACATTTCTAGCATAAATGTAATACTACTATTATCCATACATGAATTAGAGATTTGGGGTTTTAACTTTTGTTTTAGCATCAGTTGTGTTACAGACATGAATGGAATTGTTTGACTTGTTGAGGAAAGCTGTTACTTTTTGTAATGAATACTTTTATTCAGCAAGGATGCATTCAGTTAATCAGAAGTGACAGTAAAGACATTTATAAAGTTACAAAAGATTTCTATTTCATATATGAATGAATGAGTGAGGTATTTATACAACGATATAATAAATATATTAAGCAGCACAACTATTTTCAACATTGATAGTAATAAGAAATGTAATAATATGTAATAATGAATTGTAAAACTATTTCACTGTACTGTTTTTGCTGTATTTTTGAGCAAATAAAGGGAGCAAATTAAAACAATAAATAAATAAATAAAAAATCCTACAGACCCTAAACATTTGAATGGTAGTGTAAGTTTTTCGCTTAGCCAAAAATAAAAGCAAACAATCCCACAGATTGTCCTGAGACATTTAGGGATGGGCTCTTTTGACTTGGGCCAGTAAGCAATTGCCTAGCAACCAGCCAAAACACCTTATCAGCCTCATAGCAGCGTGTTACAAAACACCCAGAAGACCTTAGCAACCACATAGCAAGACTCTGGAAATCACACACAGCACCCTAAAACCATAGCATCAATCTTTGCATGGGAAAGCACCACCAATGTTTTGTTTTCCAGAAAATGTAAACATCTATTTTTTTTTAATTCTGACATCTGAACTGTTGCAGTTAGCAGATTAATGATCCCCAGTTTTACAGTAAAAACATGGGAGAATATTGAGTTTAAGATACAATACAGAACACTCTAGCAAGTTAGCAACCACTCATATGACATTGCAACACCTTGGTATAACTGCCCACAACACCTTACAGTCAGACCATTCACATTTTTTACAGGCATGTATTATATCTGGAAAGTTATTAGGAGGAAGTTATTGAGTTTATTGAGGAAGGCAAAGCATTTGATCTACGTACATATAGGAACACAATGAGCACACTATGACACATGCATGTAAATACAATGACAGGCCATTGAACTTAAAAAGAAATAAGAATAAAGTACTATGTCCTAACTAAGCCAGTTTTACAAACTGCTCTAAGATCTTTGACAAAATAATGACAGAGAACGAGAGCAGGACAGAGAGAGAGAGAGATAATGAGAGCACTATGGCTGGTATTACCTGTGGAGGGGAGGAGCATGGGAAGGCTGTGGTATGTGTCAGCATTGTGGAGAGCGGAAAGAGAGAGTCACTTTCAAGAGACGAAACGAGCAGTGCGCCATTAGTCCTTCTCCTGTAGATACAGGAAAAGCAACACCTGTTGGACACCGACATCTGTGTTAAAGTTTAACTCTTTGATTTTACATTAGACACGTTTGGGGACGGTAATTTTTTAAATATATTCAACATGATAACCAGGAAGGAGGACACACAGAAGCAAGCTTTCAACTCTAAGGTAAATATAACTTTCTGTCTAACCAGCAGGTTTGTCTAGTTAAGCTACAGACTTGACAATAAAATGTGCCAAATTTTACACAGGTGTTTCCATTTTGTCTGGAAAGGAAAGCAGCTTTAACAAGGGAAAAGTAGTTGAAATTATGTTTGGATTATGCCCTTGATTTTAATCAGTAGCAAGGAAATAGTTTATAATTAGTAGAAAATGGTTTATAGAAACCTGGTAAATAGGTCAACTATTTCTATATGGAAGAAGTCTGTTAAAATAAAAAATAAATAACTAATTGAGGTTACCAGGTTTTGCAAAACCTGCTTTTATTCATGAAAAGAAAAATGCCTGAAGGGAATTAGTCATAATGGTTTAGTCATAATTCTACTGTGTGTTATCCATGGATAATGTAGATCATGTATTTTGTTTGACGGTTGGACTGTGTGGATTGTCCGATATAAGCAGCGGCCAGGTCCTTTGACTCATTCCGTCACTTGTGTAAATGTAGACCTGCATAATGGCTGAGTAAATTATTACTTTTTTCAACTCTGGTGAGTTTTCGTGTTTGTGAGTTATGCTTAGTGGTAATGAGGATCCATTTGGCAATTGGGCTGTATTTCTTGATAAGTTTTTCTGACCATTCTGATCAACTGTTCCTTGAAAATGTCCGATCAAAGTGTGAGAAACTGAACCATTACAAAACAAGACCTTTTTATTAACTTTAGTTCAATTTCATAAATAAATAATAGAATAATACATTAATAATATAATAGAAATAAATAATTTGCAAAGTCTGGAATCCAGATTAAAAACAATAATTTCCCTTTTTGATAATTTTTTGACAGGTTCTACTGTCATGCATCTTTGCAATATGCTCATGTGCCCAACATAAACAGGGCCACAAATAGTTTACCTTGATGTTTTGAAGATTATTATTCTTATTAACACAGTGATCAATTGCTAATCTTCATGAGTAGCCTATATTATTCTCCATAATCTTTCACCTAAATCATTTAAGGAAATATCTGATTAGGGAAATTTTCATTTAAATTCTTCTGCATTTCATTCACCTGACGAAATGATGTCACCGTATTTGGATATGCAAAACAATCTACACTCCGACTGCTGCTGTTCACAAACTGTGTCAGTGAGGGCAAATGCTCGAGTTCATATAACTGAGCACCTGCAGGTGAGAAT